ACAGATACATGGACCCCTAATGATGTGTCCTCCTTCAGTTTCTTCTCTTTCTTCAAGCTTCTCTGTTCTGCTGTCAGTTTTCTTGCTGCATTAGCCTCTTCATGAGCTCTGAAAAGCGCATTGTTTTTAATAACACAAGTGCATGTAGATTTAAAAATAATATTTAGGTTTCTAAAATACAGTCAAATCTCAAACTTAATGGGACCAAGGAACAAGAGGCCCATGGGCCACATTGCTCACCTGAAAAGCTTTGGCCATTCTGTTCTTTACCAGATTTCCCCCTAGTAATACATATTGTGACCCCACCCTACCCCATTGAACATAATTTAGACAATTTGAAATCTACATTACCCCAAGATGCTTCCACAAAAGTTTCAGCATTTCTGGCCGAGTGGTTCTTGAGAAGAAGATTTTTAAAAGATTTTTCCTATATATTTCTATGTAAAACTTTGATTCTCGATTGTGGCCCCGCCCTATCCCCAGGGGTCATGATTTGAAAAATTTAGAATCTACACTACCCCAGGATTCTTCCACATAAGTTTCAGCTTTACTTACCCAGTGCTTCTTGAGAAGAAGATTTTCAAGATTTTTCTATATATCTTTATGTAAAACTTTGATTCCCCATTGTGGCCCCGCCCTACCCCCCGGGGTCATGATTTGAACAATTTAGAATCTACACTACCCCAGGATGCTTCCACATAAGTTTCAGCTTTTCTGGCCCAGTGCTTCTTGAGAAGAAGATTTTCAAAGATTTTTCCTATATATTTTTATGTAAAACTTGGATTCCCCATTGTGGCCACGCCCTACCCCCGGGGGTCATGATTTGAACAATTTAGAATCTACACTACCCCAGGATGCTTCCACATAAGTCTCAGCTTTACTTACCCACTGCTTCTTAAGAAGAAGATTTTCAAAGATATTTCCGATCTATTTTTATGTAAAACTTTGATTCCCCATTGTGGCCCCGCCCTACCCCCGGGGGACATGATTTGAACAATTTAGAATTTACACTATCTCAGGATGCTTCCACATAAGTTTCAGCTTTTCTGGCCCAGTGGTTCTTGAGAAGAAGATTTTCAAAGATTTTTCCTATATATTTTTATGTAAAACTTGGATTCCCCATTGTGGCCCCGCCCTACCCCCGGGGGTCATGATTTGAACAATTTAGAATCTACACTACCCCAGGATGCTTCCACATAAGTTTCAGCTTTACTTACCCACTGCCTCTTAAGAAGAAGATTTTCAAAGATATTTCCGATCTATTTTTATGTAAAACTTTGATTCCCCATTGTGGCCCTGCCCTACCCCCGGGGGTCATGATTTGAACAATTTAGAATCTACACTACCTCAGGATGCTTCCACATAAGTTTCAGCTTTTCTGGCCCAGTGCTTCTTGAGAAGAAGATTTTCAAAGATTTTTCCTATACATTTTTATGTAAAACTTGGATTCCCCATTGTGGCCCCGCCCTACCCCCGGGGGGTCATGATTTGAACAATTTAGAATCTACACTACCCCAGGATGCTTCCATCTAAGTTTCAGCCTTACTGGCCCAGTGGTTCTTGAGAAGAAGATTTTTTAATGACCCCACCCTATTTTTGTCTTTTCTTGATTATCTCCCTTTGTGAGGGAATTTGGTCCTTCATTTTAACAATTTAAATTCCCCTTAACCCAAGGATGCTTTTTACCAAGTTTGGTCAAAATTGGCCCAGTGGTTCTTGAGAAGAAGTCGAAAATGTGAAAAGTTTACAGACAGACAGATGGATGGACGGACAGCTAGACAGACGGACGGACGACGGACAAAATGTGATCAGAAAAGCTCATTTGATCCTTCAGCTCAGGTGAGCTAAAAACTTCAAGATACCCGATGATTCGATATAACTCATTCTTCAATACTGGTGAATTTTTAAAATGTATTTCTTTTTTCCTTTATTTTCCAATAAATAAAGTGTAAGCTGATAGATTGATATTGATATGATTTGATACTTGTGTAAGGATATAGTATAAATAGTTTTATGAATGTGAGTTGAGAAATAAAAAAAATATTGATCATTGTTGTATTGCATTTAGGGGATTTCAAATGCAGAGAATGTGACATAATTTTGGAATAGGCATACAGATGTTGATTCATTCAAAAATAAAATCATTTGGCATGATTTTTGTGTACATTATCTTAGCATATAAATGAAATAATATATTTATTTTGTCAAACATGCTAAAATTATCTTAATTATTTTTTTCTGAACTTAAAAATTTGTGGTTTATGTTCGTAACGCATGGTGTCCATATGCATTGAACTTTTTAACACCTCTCTACAAACATTAAAGAATTTGTCAAGTTCAGTTTCTGTGTTTAATTAATGAGTATGTGTGATAAATTATTTTTTACAATATGTTTCATGAACATAACTCAGTTTTTTGGTAATTTTAACATGATCTCTGATTGTAAAATGTTTGGTGTCTTGACCGTTACGAACATATTAGCTTTCAGTATGATTGCTAAAATAACAGCCAATAAATCATAAGTTTGGCTCAGAATGTCCGTAGCAGTGGTGTAATTATAGATTAAAAACGAAAGTAGAAAGGTTGCGCAGCTGTTTGCTAAAAACATGGCGATGCTCATTGTGTCCATGTGGAAAAAAAGAAGTTACGAACATAATAGATTCGGTAAGTATTTTCATATTGTATCAATTTTAGTGAATGTTTAACACATAAATACAGTCATTGTATCTTTATACCATGTAACTATTAATCAGAAACTGAAATATGTCTCTTATGACCATACAAAGTGCATGAATCTGTCCGAGTCGAGTACTTTCGGATAAACATTTGACTTTTGATTCGCGTCTTTTGTTACGAACATAAATGTTTTTGCAATATTTGTATAATCCATTGATGATAAAGTAATATTGTACTATATTTTACTCTATATTTGTTAGTTTTGTTCTGCCCTTATCAAAGGATGAATACTTATTGAATATTTGTTTTAATATTGCCATATCATTTACGCAATTACGTTCGTAACAGAGACACGAAAACTTAAAGTAGTGACATAATTTGTACTTTAATTGCTTTCTTTTTGATTTTATCAAGCCAGGATATATAATAAATATAATTAAACAGCATATGTGTTGATTACATCATGTTGTATTTTGTTTTATATATTTTTTTTCTTTCAGATATACAAGAAATGACTGAACTATGTTCGTAACAATGACACAAAGATCCAAGACTCAAAATAGAAGACCTAGGATATTTAATTATTCATCTGACAATTTACTTGTCTGCATTAATTCTTTTTGAAAGCTTGCCTATTATTAAGCTTTGAAATGAAATATTAAAAGTATTAAAGACAAGTGTTTGATTTTCTTGTTATTTTTTTGTTCCTATTTAAAGCCTGATTTGGAGTTAGGTGTCCATGTTACTTACATAATTTCTCCTTTTTTGAAACTAGAAATAAGAATTGTGACTTTTTAAATAAATTCCATTTAATATAACATTAAACATGATTTCATCATACCTTATTGATTGCATTATTTTCATATTTTAACAACTTGTTAAATTCTAGTAACATGTTACTTGTTTAGTGCTTATGTAAGTAACGGTGTCCATTGGTAGTCTTGAATATATTTTCTAATTGTAATGGAATAAGGCAGAAATAAGTCATGCAATAAAACATGCAAACTAGTGTTTAAATACTTCAAACAGGATTCACCAGAAAAGAATAGCTTATTGTTCTAAAAAACAGTCACTGTGGACACCAAGTTACGTAAATAAAATTTCAGACATGCTTGTACATTTGGACACCTATCTCCTCTTAAAGACTTCAGATTATCTTCCCTTCATTTTTTTTCAGAAGCAGGAAGGGTACTGACTTAATTAATATACATAAATTATTAAATTGATTATTCTTAAAAAATAACCCTTTGGTCACACATCTGAACTCAGTACTGAAAAATGAGTTATATATCGAGGGTAAAGTACTTAAAGAATAAGTGGTTGAGATTTCCAATTCACTTTGACATATGCATGGTATTCAAGAAATTGGTGTTCAAGATACCGAAATTCAACTGTATATCTTTGAATAATTTTAAACAATGAGCCTTTTAGCAGTTTATAGGTGCATAAAAAGGTTGAGGCCAAAAAAATTAATAAACGGTTTCTCAGACACCACCGCATCAGTTCAAAAATGGCCGCATTGCAGTCTACGCGAAAGTTTAAAATTTTTACAGGACAAAATGTCTGGTAAAAATAAAATTTTTACCAGACCAAACAATTTCTTACCAGACCGACTTTTTTCCTTTAAACATGTTAAATCCATATATCATTATGATACTGAGATTGAGAGGGTGGGTGGGATGGGGTTAATTCACACTGTGAAATTTAACTTTAAATAAATTCAGAGTGAAATAGACAAGTTAACTATTTATAATTTTCCTTTGTAAAAGGTATCTATTTATAAATACAATTGCATGCATTTTTTTTCTTCATATTTGACTTATACAACATACACTGTATCAAAGATTTTCTTAAATTTAATATATGCACTTTCATTGCATATTCATTTTTCCTTAAACAATTCATTATGGTTACTCAAGTTCAATGATCATTTGAAAATAATTTCCCAACCGAATATACGTATGAGCTATCTAAATATTTTCCCAACCAAATCTACGTATGAGCTATCTAAAGATCTCTAATCCTTGACAGAGGAAATTCGAATAAGAATAAAAACGATCATGACAGGGTTGTAATACATAAAATTTAATCAGGTATTACTGCTAAATTGGTCAAATTGAGGTTATTTGTGGGGAATTTGACCATGTGTACCTCTTTATTTAGATTTATTTGGCCTTATTTTTTATCGGACATTTGGTCCTGTATACTGAAATTTTTTACCGACCCGACCTAAATTTTACCGGTAAAAACCGACGGTCCAGTGACTTTCGCATAGACTGGCATTGATATATTTTATTGACATATTGAAAAGGGAAATAACTCAATTTTCAATTTTCCAAGTTGAAAAAGAAAATCGAGTTAAGATAGGCGTTTTTATGAGAAAAACAATACATTTCTTCTAAATTTACAGTATTTCATGAATTAACTTTTTAATAAATGTTTGGAATAACATTATTTAAAGTTACATATATATATTAACTAATTTCAGAAAACAAAAATTAAGAATTAGTAGATATTATCATTTTATTGAACAAATGGCTTAAAAAATGTCAAACCTGCTTCAAAAAAAAAAAAAAAAGCCTGCCTGCTGCATTGAATTTTGAATTTTTTGGCCTGAGAAACTATTCATTAATTTTTTTTGGCCTAACATTTAACAATTAAAATTCATTACTTTTCACACTATTAATAACTAGTTTTACTGCTTGTTCAAACAAAACTGGGTACATGTAGTTTTCTGTGTGGGATATCTTACTTTTGTCTTTTGGCCATTTGTGCTCTGACATGGGCCTCTACTTTTGTAGGGTCCTGTACAGCCTCTGTTCCCAACACTCGCATTAAATTAGCCATCCGAACTGTAAAGCAAGACAGATCATTATTAACTTAATACTGTCAACACAATGAATGACTGTATAAAGTACAACATTCAGATTAAATTGCCCATTCGAACGATAAAGCAAAACAGATCATTCACTTAATACTGTCAACACAATGAATGACTGTATCAAGTACAACACTCAGATTAAATTGGCCATCCAAACAGATTATTTTGTTAACATAATGACTGTAAACCACAATCCAGTTTATAAAATAATACTGGCAATGCCATTAATTAGGACATGGAATCTAAAATACATACATGTATAAAGTCCTAATTATTGTAACATGCCCATCCATGTCCTATAAATCTGCATACATAATCCCATATTATGAAATATCCTTGTCTAACTTTAAAGTTTGAAATGCATTGTAGCATAGCTTTGAAACATAAAAATACATTCTAATGCAATTGTTTTGTAAAACACATTTTGATTGGATAATGCACTGATGTTTGAAGCAAGAAAACGAGCATTTACGAGAGTGAAAGCTTTTCATTGTGACGTCATAATAGAGTGAAGCAAAAACACAATGTTCCATGATGTATTTCTTGTAACAAAACTCAAGAGAATAAGTCTTAAACATCAAACAAAATGCACAGATTGCATTAGAATGGGAATAACTATCATCTAATTTGGTATTTGCAACCGTTAATGCAGATTTAACAGTCGCAAACATCTGTTTTACCGGCTCCGCTTACGCGTCACAGGTAAAACTCAGTTTGCAACAGTTAAATCAGCAATAACGGTCGCAAATACCAAATTAGAAGATAGTTATTCCCTAATTTATATTACCAAACTTTGAGTGGGATGTGTTTTAATTAAACAATAACCAACAAGAAAACAACCTTTAGGTTCTGGTGGGGGCATCAGTCCCAGTCGTATCTTCTCCGTCACTTCCTTCTGATTCTCCTGACGATTTTGTCGACGTAATTTTTTCCTCTCCTTCTTGGTGAGATATACAGGTATCTGGGGTCCTTTTTCAGGTTCATCTGATTTTAAACAATATATTACAATTCAATTTTTGTGATATGTACTTTTTCATTCTTTTATCTTATGCCAAATGCAAACTAATCATTTAGAATTACATGTATTTAGTTCAGAAAATTATAGAAAACAACAGATAGAGAAATCTTCCATAATGGGTCTTTATAATTTTAATTCATTAGTACTGAATTAATATTTAATTATTAACTTTTGTATCACATTTATAAAGATTACATACAGCTTTGCCATTAACATACACTGTCTATTCACATTTTGTGCAATTAAAAGATGGCAATGCCAAGATATTCAAATAATCAATTACTTGGGGGTTTGAGCTGTATAGGATGTTCCACCAAATGTGTGATGCCTTCAAAGTTTCCGTCTCTCAGTCTGTCATCAATGCCATCATAACTGTCATTAGGGAGGAGAAAGCTATCCCACCATTCCACAGCGGGAATCTCACCCTCTCTCTAGAAAAACAACAAGAGGCCCATGGGTCACATTGCTCACCTGAGAAGCTTTGACCATTCTGTTCTTTACCAGATTTCCCCCTTGTAATACATATTGCGACCCCACTGATCATAATTTAGACATTTTGAAATCTACACTACCCCAGGATGCTTCCATGTGCACATAAGTTTCAGATTTTCTGGCCCAGTGATTCTAGAGAAGAAGATTTTCAAAGATTTTTCCTATATATTTCTATGTAAATCTTTGATTCCCCATTGTGGCCCCGCCCTACCCCGGGGGTCATGATTTGAACAATTTAGAATCTACACTACCCCAGGATGCTTCCACATAAGTTTCAGCTTTTCTGGCTCAGTGGTTCTTGAAAAGAAGATTTTCAAAGATTTTTCCTACATATTTCTATGTAAATCTTTGATTCCCCATTGTGGCCCCGCCCTACCCCCGGGGGTCATGATTTTAACAATTTAGAATCTACATAACCCCAGGATGCTTCCACATAAGTTTCAGCTTTTCTGGCTCAGTGGTTCTTGAAAAGAAGATTTTCAAAGATTTTTCCTATATATTTCTGTTAAACTTTGATTCCCCATTGTGGCCTTGCCCTACCCCCAGGGGTCATGATTTGAACAATTTAGAATCTACACTACCCCAGGATGCTTCCACATAAGTTTCAGCTTTTCTGGCCCAGTGGTTCTTGAGAAGAAGATTTTCAAAGATTTTTTCTTGCATATTTCTACCTTAATCTTTGATTCCCCATTGTCGCCCCGTCCTACCCCCGGGGGTCATGATTTTAACAATTTAGAAACTACACAACCCCAGGATACTTCCACATAAGTTTCAGCTTTTCTGGCTCAGTGGTTCTAGAGAAGATTTTCAAAGATTTTTCCTATATATTTCTATGTAAATCTTTGATTCCCCATTGTGGCCCTGCCCTACCCCGAGGGTCATGATTTGAACAATTTAGAATCTACACTACCCTAGGATGCTTCCACATAAATTTCAGCTTTTCTGGCTCAGTGGTTCTAGAGAAGAAAATTTTCAAAGATTTTTTCTTATGTATTTCTATCTTAATCTTTGATTCCCCATTGTCGCCCCGTCCTACCCCCGGGGGTCATGATTTTAACAATTTAGAATCTACACAACCCCAGGATGCTTCCACATAAGTTTCAGCTTTTCTGGCCCAGTGGTTCTTGAGAAGAAGATTTTCAAAGATTTTTCCTATATATTTCTCTTAAACTTTGATTCCCCATTGTGGCCCTGCCCTACCCCCCGGGGGTCATGATTTGAACAATTTAGAATCTACACTACCCCAGGATGCTTCCACATAAGTTTCAGCTTTTCTGGCTCAGTGGTTCTTGAGAAGAAGGTTTTCAATGATTTTTCCTATATATTTCTATGTAAAACTTTGATTCCCCATTGTGGCCCCGCCCTACCCCGGGGGTCATGATTTGAACAATTTAGAATCTACACAACCCCAGGATGCTTCCACATAAGTTTCAGCTTTTCTGGCCCAGTGGTTCTTGAGAAGAAGATTCTTTAATGACCCCACCCTATTTTTGTCTTTTCTTGATTATCTCCCCTTGTGAGGGGACTTGGTCCTTCATTTTAACAATTTAAATTCCCCTTCACCCGAGGATGCTTTGTACAAAGTTTGGTCAAAATTGGCCCAGTGGTTCTTGAGAAGAAGTCGAAAATGTGAAAAGTTTACAGACGGACAGACAAACAGACAGACAGTCAGACAGCTAGACAGCTGGACAGACAGACGGACGGACGGACGACGGACAAAATGTGATCAGAAAAGCTCACTTGAGCCTTCGGCTCGGGTGAGCTAACAAAAATATTTCAAAAGAATGTCAATAAACCTACTAAGAAATGATTAATTTACGTAGGAAAGGGTTAATTTTCATCAATTTATCTGTTTTTGTTCTTCTTTACTTGGGGGTTGGGGGGGGGGGGGTCAGGCAGACCTACCAGTTCTTTCTTTGGTGCAATGGTAGCTAGTTTAGCAGCAGAGGCAATACCGGTCTTCTTAGCAGCTTGTGCTATCTCACTTTGTAAAATGTCCAGCTGGGCCTTAAACAAAACAAGAATACAATGTCCTTTTATGAATAACATAGTTCTTATGTAATCATATGGGGCTCTTTAAGGACAGAAAATTTATAATAACATATTAGTTTGAAGAATACTTTTGTGAATTATAATTTGGATGGAACTTGTCATAATATACTGGGATACAAAGAAGCTCCATCTTATTTCATGTAATTCTTATATGTGTGAAACAAATCATCTGCTGGCTCTCTATATAGGACTGGTGTGTAATACATCGTTTACATTTTTCCTTGTAGTACTTTTTTTTCTAAATAAAAACTTGATAAAACTTCTTTGAAATTTCTAGGGGGTTTACCTTAGCACGAAGTCTAGAAGCAATAGCTTCAAATTTCCCATGTTCATGGAACTTGAATCCCCTTTTTGGTCTTTGTGCCTGCCTTGCACTGTAGAAAAGATATTAGGTTAATATCAGATGCAAAACATTTACATTTACACTGCTTTATAGAAAAAAGTTGCTATTTTAAGCACTTTTCACAAAAACTAGCTTCCATTCCATACATTTATCTGCTAGTCTATTTTCCTGTTAATCAAATGTAAATCTGCATTAGATTGTATAGATTCATTTTTGAACATAATTTTACATATTTTAAACATCTATTACATGAAAACTAGTCTGATGGTATTGTATGACTATTCATCACATCACTGTGACTTTGCAGCATCTACTGTAGATTCCTTATTTTTCCTGAGTACTTATTATCAAGAAACATAGATCTCTTTTGCATCAAATCATGAGAGCAATAATTAGCGAATGGACAGTTGATCAAGAGAATTAACATGGGTTTCAACCCCATAAAAATAAAAGCAAGAAATTTTATATCACGAGTGATGCTTCTCCCAAGATTACGGGATAATTAATTCCTGGCGTATAATTAGGAATCTATCAGTATTAATGGAACTTGACAACCCACCCTACTCTGGGATCAAAGTATTTTCCCTCGCTGATCTCTTCTGGAGGTTTTTCTATCAGACCTTTAAACTGTTCTCTTCTTTTGGCTCTGATGTTGGCCTGAGGACAAAAAGGTAAGAGATTATTGTAACACATAAGCATGATTAGGTTATACCATAGATAGTATTCTAATCAACAACTTAATTGTTAGTCCATTACAGTGAGACACCTACTGTGAAATCACTAATTTCCGTGGGGGGTTAATTTTCATTGTTTTCGAGGTATGGAGAGACCAAAGAATTTATGACCACCATGAAATGTAAACTTTGATATGCATTACTACTACACATTTTTCAAACCACAAAATTAAATCCCCACAAACCAATATTTTTTCCTCAATTCTCGAAAATTTGAACCCCTCGAAAATATGTGATTTTACAGTATTACATGGCACATGTGTATTCTTCTAAGAAAACAACTCATTTCTGTAACTATCATCCAGCTTAACTTTTCTCAATGATTAAAAAAATTGAAATTGAAATTAAAAAATTTTATTTCTGGATAAATCTCTCTAAAATTAACAAATAAAATACCAGTAACGCATTCTTTGCATGTTGCAGTATTTGATACTCATTACAACACATAAACATATAAAATGAATTAAGTTTTATAGGGAAGACATTAATTCTGCATACAAGGTATCAATACTTTTACACTGAATAAAACCTAGAAACCTTTAGTGTAGGCGTGTGGTGGGTCAGTTGAATCGCCTGTCCAGTGTTAGCATCAATCGTCCGACCCTCGGCATCCAGGATCAGCGGGGTGGGTCTAAAATACAAAATAAATTCTGGTTACAATGATCTATATAGTAAACTGGATCACACATGCATTTATAAACTTTGTGGCATTGGACTTTGTTTTTCTTTTTCGGTTTAAGGAAACATAAATACAAAAAACAATACTCACTTTGTTGGGATGACTGCACCCTGACCTCCCTTCCTAAAAAATTAAATAATTGTGTTTGATACATCCACTGATCAGTATAACTATACAGGTATTACCATTGAAACTTTTATCATATAAGTAAAATCAAAAGCTAAAACAGTTACTCCAGTGATTAAAAATACATGGACATTATACACACTGTAATGGGGAAAATAAACCTGCAGAGTTACTGTAAACCAACCTTTATTTATGTGCAAGAATTATCCACAAGTTTTGCGGCCTTCATTAACTTGCAAAAATTAATCATCAAACCATTTTTTTTTTTTTGCTTTGTACTTGTAAAAAAAATGTTTTCTCAATCATGAAGATTAATCATAACTGATTTATTAAGATTAATTACATGTGTATAACTGATTTGAAACTTGTTACTGACAAATTGCAAATAAAATATGAAGTGAGTCGTGAATATTGTTACTGTAAGTTTAGCAGTGTTCATATTTCAGCTTTTCTAGGATGCTTGATTCAAGCAAATGCTAATATTTCGTTAAATCAAATACAAAGTTTTCCCACTCAGTGATTTTGGCTAGCTTGGAATGGATCATATAGAATGTTTGCTCCAAAGGTGCTCATTTACAAAAACGCTCATAAAATGATGAGGCAGATTGTCCTTATGTCTAAGAGCATGCGTTAGTTTATGTTCATATACAGTGTATGTACCCTAAATAACTGCTACCATTCAAGCACCACACATCTCTTTAAATTCATGATGCAAACTATTTGAATTAACATATATGAACCTGTTTTTCCTTTTTAACTTAATACTAGTTTTAAATCAAAAAGATGTTTGATTTATTTCAGAAAACTCCAAATCGTTCAATATTATTTATCTGGATCCAGGTCTAAGACCGTCCTACAGACTAGCTTCATTCTTACCCTTGCATGAGCCCAGACATCTGGTTCTGTATTTTGGCCTGTAATTCATTCTTACCCTTGCATGAGCCCAGACATCTGGTTCTGTATTTTGGCCTGTAACTCCTGGGCTCGTCTCACCTTCTCTAAAGCTTCATTCATAAGAATTTCATTGTGGGACAATCCTCCCTGCTAAATGACAAGATAATCTTCAATTAAATGACTGGCTTGAGACTTGATTAATCATTATTGATAGGTAAATAAACATTTCATTAATATATCTGCTTATAAGATAGAACATCACTGAATTTTTAAAAATGTACTTATATTGAATTTTTTTTTGTCATTTCATTTATCACATTGTCAATGTCCAAACTTTTTTAAATTTGCAGATTTCAAGATTTCATAATAATCACAGTTTTGCATTATTCCAATATTTATAAAATCCACCCAAATACAAACTTTTAAACTACTGTTTGTGACAAAAAAAGCCTGGCTCCTGTAAACACAGATTTCTCCAAACGTACCTGAGACTTTGGAGGCGGAGGCATCATGGCCGACAACTGAGTTTTTCTCTCATTAATCAAGTTCTTAGCATTAGCCATCATTTCTTTTATCTGTAAATATAAACAGTTCAAAACGAAACCATGGAAATTTCATATTAAAGTTACGACTAACAAATATGTTGAGGTGCACACAAGTGACTTCTATTTGTATACTGGTAGGTAAGATTCATTTCAGATAAATGTCTTCTGGGTACCACAAACCAAACCTATTAAGACTTATAAAATATAACATTTAAACATTGATGTCTGGAAAATGGGTCATGGAAAAATTAGATATTTTGTTCATTTCAGAAATATGTTGATTAAATTGTCTAGTTCAAGTCTTTAGTTCTCCTTGCTATTATATCATATATATAGGCATCACAACAATTTTTTATAAAATACAAGGAAATTTTCGCCCCCCGTTTTATTATCTCCTGTTTCGCCCTTGTCACTGGTGGGTGAATTTAAAACAGGGCGAATTCAAAGAACACGGTATAATTTCTTAAACAGACTTGTGATTGGGCGAATCTAAAATGGGGCAAAATTGTTAGCAAGTGTAAAAGGGCAAAAAAAACATAGGGCAAAATAACCCTGTATACAGTAAACAGGCCAGATTTATGGGTTTTATGGATATTCTATTACAAATGCTTAAATTTGACAATATATCAATCATTCAGGGAAATATCAGACAGTAGAGTCTCAGTACTTTGTCTCCAGTCAGTTGTCCTGGGCTGGGATTTCCGGGGCCAGGAATGGCTGCCACCGGTATCTCTACTGGGCCATCGTCTACAAATCTCCGCTTCTTCCTCTCGGTTGCTTCATCCTTCTCTCTGTCACCCTCCTGTAAAAAAAAAGAATGGAAAAAAAAAAAAACTCTCAAAAGCAATGTAAAATCTATCAAGAAAATATTTTTAAACTTTGATTTTTTTTAAATTTTGATAAAAAGACTGAGAGAATATTTCAAAGCTATCACATTTTTTTGTTCCTTTAAAGATGCATAGAGAATCTTCAAAGCTCTACCTGACATGTTTGTTTGTTTCAAACTAACCTTTCTCTTTTTTCGTTGACTCTTTGTTTTGTAATCATCCCAGACATCAAATAATTTTTCTGAAAATTTTTCTGCCTGTCTGTCATCTAAAATAACACCTAGCTTACCTGATAAAAATAAATGTTTGAGTAAATATTAAAGTAGCAATGCTTACATCAAATCAATGCAATAATTAATCACATCAAATGATTTTCTTCTCATCAACTTTATTCTATGGCTGCTCCTTTTTTGTATAATATGAGAAAAATACCAAACATATTTTGTTAAATATGCAGACATGACTCTTTCCTAAATAATATGACTACATTGTATTACAGAGACATGAAGAGGGACAGAAATTTGAAGAAGATGCAGATTCTTTGAAATCACTAACCTTTGTGTCCCAAAAAAAAAACTTTCTAAAAGAGACTGATACACTCTGACTTACTGATGGTCTTCTTCTTGTCATATCCTTTGTCTATACAGTTAAGAGCAGCAGTGACCAGTGAGGGTTCAGTGAAGCCCAGGAACTTGTGCACAGTTTTGTCCAGTAAAGACTTTAGATCCTCCCACTCACGGCTCGACAGGGACATCTCCTCTGTGTCTGGTGGTGTCTGTCAATAAAGTTCATGCTGAGAAAATTATACACTTAAGAAAAAAGTGTGGTATAATACCAGTAGCTAAATCAAGCTATTCTGGATAGCTTAATAAAGCTATACAGCTATTTAAAGCTATATAGCTAAACCAAGAGATTGTACTGGACAGTCTAGAGGAATTTACTGAAAATTGTAACTTTTTTATTTGTCAAAGCAGTGCTCCAAGTTCAGACTAAAATGGTCGCATTTGCGACCAAAAATATGGTTTTGCAACTAGAAATAAAAACAAACTCGTATTTTTACGACTGAGAAAATTTAGGCTGGCAACATCTATTTTTTTAAGATCGGGATCGAGATTTACATTTTTGAAGATCCTCTACCATGACAACATTTGAAGATATGTAGTCACTTCAACACACTTTACAAAGTGTCGCTTGGACTTCGATCATGTGTTATGACAGCATGCTGTAATAGTGAAGTTTGATAGATCAGAGGCGTATAATATACATAACGTCCCTGATAGAATAGCATCCAAATGTCATAAACTTTCTAGAGTTTTCTCTGACCTGGTTATTGAAGCATTTAGTCAACGGCTTGCATGTCACAATTAATTAAGTGTTTTGCCGGCATTGATAACGACTGTATAATGGGTGAGGTACGTAGTTGTAAGTAAACGTAACAAACAACTGACAAAGTCCTGTTTCAACAGCTGTCAAACTTTTATTTTCTTTTGATTAAACTTTAATTCTAGAATCAGATTACTTGTGTTTTTTCTGTGAACTGTAAAACCATAACTTTAAGGTGGTTGTATTTAATAAAAATATTTCCTTCAACTAGCAGATTATTTCTAGTTACAGTAATTAGTAATTTTTTATTTAATAAACACATAATACATATATGGGTGTATATTTCCTTCAGGCTTGTTTGAATTAACTTGTGTTATTCACGTTTTCATTATGGCGAGTTGAAATATTTGTTTATGGTGACCAGAAATTCTGAAATGGCGACCAAGAAAAATTTTTAGGTCACCATTTAGTGACCAAAAAGTAAGTGTGACGTGGAGCACTGCAAAGATGTTTGTATGTTCGTTAGCCCTAAAACGCATTCACCCTTGACGCTGTTCGCTCTATTTCTTCTTCGTCCAGAGTCTGTTTGCTCTAAAATTTGTTCACACAAAGTCCGTTTACCCAAAATATGTTAGTGGGTTAATTTTCATAATTATTTCCTTTGGTTTTATTGAATTTCTATTCAAATTATAATTAATTACTCTTAACATTCAGAATATGTAGTTGAAGAAATTAAAAAAATGTATAATAAACAATGTGGTATGCATTAATTTTTATTTATAAGTAATTTTCAGTAAGGTAATATTAAATGAAGAATTAAAAAAATATTTTCAAAACATACTGTAAGCTAAATTGAACCTTTAAAAAACTAAATTAAATAAACAAAATTAAAAAGAACTAGTGCTAATTGTAACGGGGACCGTTACAGATGTTCCCCAAACGCTCCCCAACTCCCTTTTGGTGCCATATTCCCTGTAATCTCTATTAAATAAGAAATACTTTATGGAATTTAGACTTAATCAAGGTCTTCCCAGAAAAATACAAAATATATTTTAAAATAGGCATTGCACGCGTGTTCATGTGCGTAACGACCATATTATCTTGTCTACACTATCTAAAATATTAATATCCTTAATGTCACAGCATTTAATCCAAAAGTATTTAAAAATATACTCATTCAAGTGTATTTTTAATTTTACTCATTTCACGTGCACGCACGTGAATAATGACTACACCGTATTGTAGGAGTCCCTTATATTTATCTATGTTCTAAATCTCATCCTGTTTGGTTGAAAAACAAGGGAATTATAGCCATTTGAAGTTTCAGCCAATCAGATTGCAGCACACATGCATGCGTATGATTTCATAAATTTTTATCTTTATCGTATTGAAAGATATCCTAATGCATGACTATGTTTTAAATTTCAAAGCATTTCGTCAAAAAACAAGGGAGATATAGCCATTTAAAGTTTCAGCCAATCAGATTGCAGCATGCGCGCATGGGCATGCTTTCATGAAAATTTTTATTTATCAGGCTGTAGATCTTTATAATGTGGGACTATGTTCAAAATTTCAAAGGATTATGACAAAAAACAAGAAAGATATTGAGACTTTAGTTTCAGCCAATCAGAGCGAAGCGCACGTGCATGCGCGTCAGATTTTGCTATTTTGACCATGTCATCTTGTTAATACTACTAATATATCCATGCAGTGTGAGTTTCAAAAAATTCCATCAAGAAATAGAAAAGTGAAGGCTAAATCCATTATATTGGTAATTTCACATGTTGCACGTGCGCGCTCTTGCTAGCACACGTGCATGTAAGTGCTTTCATGATAATTCTTATATATCATGCTGTAGATCTCCCTAATATATGACTATGTTCAAAATTTCAAAGGATTTTATCAAAAAACAAGAAAGATATTGAGACTTAAGTTTCAGCCAATCAGAGCGAAGCGCATGTGCATGCGCGTCAGATCTTGCTATTTTGACCATGTCATCTTGTCTAAGCTTCTAATATATACTTTTATTATGAGTTTCAACGCATTTCATTAAAAATTGAAAAAGTTACGGCAATACACATTATATTGGTCATTTCTCGTGTTGCACGTGCACGCTCTTGCAAGCACGTGCGCGCAAAATGACCTTCGTTCGGCAAATCTACACAACATGTCTACTGACCCTAAAAACATTTTACCTAAGTCGGATGTGTAGTTTACTAGATCATTCGTGGACAAAATTTTCCCAGGAAGAAGAAAAATAATAATAATAATAATAAGAAACAGAGTAAAAACAATATGTTCCCCAACTTCGTTTGGGGAACATAATAAGAAATCTAATGACTTATAATCCAACGTTAATGTTGACATAAAATATTTATCATAGGGCGATCGGGATATATGGCGAACAGGACACAGGGCGAACAAGAATTATGGCGAACGGACTCATGCAAACAGGGTAGATAAGATAGGGCGAACGGAGCTGAATCAGTGAATGGCTGATACCGTCAAAGACTCGAACCAACATTTGATGATAGGTGGGTAGAGCTGTGCTCACCGGACATATTCATCATATGAAAATTATTTATTTTCATTTTTTTTAAAGTTACTACATTCATAAGATCTATTCAGAAACAGTTCAATGCAACCAGTTATGTCTTTATATTAGTTCGAGGAAATTCGAAATGTAAGAACAACAGTTTACTGGACCTCACTTTTCTTCTTGTTAATAAAACCTTAAAACACGGCATATCTAAGGTTACCTTAAATATATTATGTGTCTTCTTTTCGTTTTCAAGGATCTCAAACACGGAACTATCACTTAAAAATAAAGTTTTCTGCAAAACTCTTTGGCTAGTCCCAAACGCGAGTGTTGCGTTTAGCCAACAACTTTTTGTTAAATGAAATATGATTCGTTGATGCAGAGTCAAACAACCAATCTGTTAACGGATTACATACTGAAACTAAAAGCAGGGGAAACCGGAAACCGTAAGGACATCTAATCCCCGGTTTCATTATTTGTGTATGAGGGAGTTTATACCCCCGTAATCAACGAATAGTTTTTGTCTTGTCTATCCGTCCGTCTGTCTAGCTGTCTGTTTGTGCGCAAAAACTACCATTGCCTATATTTTTTAATTTAGTGGAGCTATGACTTTCATATTTCACGTGTGTATTCCTTGTGACAAGATCTTTCTTTGGGTACCACCAAATTTGACCATTTTACCTTGACCTTGGAGTTTGACCCATTTTTACACAGAAATTCCAAACTTTCACTTAAGCCATAACTTTTTTTTGAACGGTGGATACTATAGGACTTTCTTAAATTATTTCACATATGTATTCTTTGTGGCGAGACCTTTCATTGGATACCAACAACTTAAATTGGCCTTTTGACCTTGGATATTTCTATACTGAAGACCTTGGCCATACTTTTTGAACGGTAAGACCCAGGGCTTTCAAATTTCAAAAATGTATAAGCCTTGTGAGAAGACCATTGGAAACCAAGAATTTGACCCTTTGACCTTGACCTTGGAGTTTGACCTACTTTTGAAAAAACAAACCTATAGTTAGGGCTTTCATACTTCACATATTTAATCCTTAAAACATAACTGTGACGTAAACCTTTTGTTTGTGTTGTACATTCTATAGCTTAGTGTTGAGATAACTCCTCTAACAATCCATTAAGTATCAGCTACCCACCCCACCCCTCCCAATAAAGAAAGTTAGACAAATAGACCAGCGCCTTGTTGATTACAAACTTATTTACAAATACATTCAATGAACAATAAAAGTGTGATAAAATGCCTTCAATTTGTTTCCTCCCCTACTATTTTCTTTTTCCCTCTTTCTCATTTAGTTAAAATTATTTACATATTAAATTAACTAATCCCCCTATCTATTTTAAAGGAAAAGTCTCAATAAGGCTTATCTGTGGGTCCCGATTACTCGTCAAATTTCGAACGTTTATCAAAGACTTTAAAAATTAAATTTAATTATTAACTAATGTCTTTATTATTTGAGTCATCATCTAACTACAGTGTAGTAATGAGAGTGTTTCAAGGAACGCATGTGTCGCCTGCATTTAGCTTCGTTAAAGATGTACTAAATCTAAGAATGGTAAGCTATTTATTTGCTACAAGCATATAGTTCATGCCCCCCCCCCAAAAAAAAAACTAAATGAATAAATAAAAATCCACATGCACGGATAGTAAGACTGGGATAAAATCTGCCACCCCCCAAAAAAAAATAGAAATACAAATCCGAAACCCATGAAAGCTAAAATAGATATTAATAAAATTTAAATTATTACAAATAATTTTTCATCAATGAATTTAATTAGCACGTTATTTCAACAATCCTTCTTGAAACTGAAAGAGACTTTAGTTAATCTGTCTTTACGGCAATCACTCATTTTGGAATTTGGATCCCGATGTATGTTCATATATATAGTGCTTTTAAAATTTTAGTTTTTTGCAAGAAATATGAGTCAATTAAAGCCAGTACATTGTTAATGAGCTTATAGATATGCACTAATGCTTATTATCAAATCCATGCCTCTCTTTATTCAAAAGAAGTAAATTTAACCATCTTTAGTATATTTTGCAAAGTAGGTCAAATGTCAAGGTCATATGGACTGTAACCCTGGTATTTTTTAAAATACAGTGTACATTCTAAATAGCACAGAGTTGCCTCTAAAATGTCAAAAAGAAGCTGTATATCGGCATTGTGTATTTTTTTGAAAAGTAGGTCAAAGGTCAAGTTCAAGGACAACTAGGTCGGAAACCATGGTAAAACACAAAAGCCACAGTGCCAAGCTATATTCTGTTTGTGCAAAATATCAAATCCATACCTCTTACAGTTCTGTAAAGGAGAAAGGCAGTTTGAATTTTAAATTTTTTTCTTTTTGGTTTTTGGGTTTTTTGTTTCTTTTTTTTTTTTTTGTTTTGTTCTTTGTTTTTTCCAATTTTTTTTTTTTTTTTTTTTTTAATTAAATTTTATTGTTTTCTTTACCCACTTTACTTCTCTCAAATTTTCTTCTATGTACTGTTTAATTCTTGTAATATTAGTTTATAATATACGAGGGTTAATTCATATTTCTCTCAATTTTACTTCTATGTACTGTTTAATTCTTTTAATATTAGTTTATAATATACGAGGGTTGATCCAAAAGTTCGTGGAATTTCTTCATATTTTATTTATTTTTCAGTGGAATTGGTTGAAAATTACAAATGAAAATATAGACACTTGATTAATATTTTAAATTAAAAAACTTTTTAAATATCTTGGATAGTAGCTTTCTGGCAGTTGCCATAGAAACGGTTGTTTGGAAATGCGGGGGAGACATTAACGCGTTTATTATCATTTTAATTCTTAATACGTGAAATAAGAATTAAACCGCCCTATGTGGTATATAAAACTAAAATAATGTCATTATTACGATTGCTTGATCTTTTATAAACCTTTTGTGTGAGAGTTTTACTGATTTTACTGGATATTTAGTTTATAAAATGATGATTTATTGGTTCATCTTTATGTTGTTAGATAACGTCAAATTTCGGTCAAGTCACACGTTTTGTGAAAATCCCGGGATCACTCTATCTTAAACGCGTATATTATTGACATATGCTCGGGAAAAATGCGTTTAGTTGCTGGCTTTCCAGTGGCATAAGAAATTTAAGAAAAATAGAACTTCCATGGACGTTGATAAAAGGTGTGGTCGCTTTTGAGAGGCTCTGTTTAAGTACGTATCCCCCTAGACAAATTAAAAGCGTTAATGGACGTTGTCGGCTGCCGTACTGTTCTTGACATTGCTACTGAAATTGGAACATCATATGGAAAGATGGGTAGTATTTTGAAATATGAGTAAAAAATGAAGATAAGTTGGCGCGAGAGGATACCCAGGCTTTTCTTGAGAAAAAAAAATGGAGAAAAAGGCAGCATTTTGTAGAATTACGTATTATAATTGGACATTTTGGGCAAGATGCTTCTATAACGTGACGTGACATATCTAACATGACGTTACCCCTGACGCAGTCTCCCCCGGGTTTCCCACCTATCCATTTTCAGAAAGCTCGTGTAACCTTATTGGTAATTGGAAAGTGGTGAAATTTTCCAGTATTGTTGCATTTTGACTCTATATTATGAATATGCCTGTTGATTGATTTCATCGAATCACGAAAAACATTTTAGAAAGAAATTCCACGAACTTTTGGATCAACCCTCGTATATCTTTTTTAGAACTCAAATATGTAATCTGTACCTTGATCTCCAATGGAAAGAATTATATAGGCCGTTGGCCTGCTGTTCAATCCATATTCACTGTATACTTTTCTGTATATTTTGAATAAAATACTTCTTAAACTGAGGCCTTTCTCCTACTTAAAAAAAAATAATGTGAAAAACAGGTAGCACACGTACAATAAATTCATTGTTTACAGAATGGACAGAATGGACAGTTGTAGGTAAGCTTGGGGTGCACAGCAATTTGTTGAAAAGCCATTGCGTTTCCAGATGCGAATAACAAAAGGACTTTGTCTAAAGAATGGACAGTTGCAGGTGGATTTCGGGGACTTATTTATATAAGAATGCAACTCCTCAAAAGCAATTTTTATATTGCATTGTAAAGGCGAACATGTTTCCATTCAATGGAGAGAATATATGACAGAATCGAAACTAAAAGATGCACAAAACTAGTGATATTTTGACATGGAAACAGAGCGTAAAAGAAAATATTATCCAAACAAATACAGATACATGTATTTCGAATTCAAACCGGATTTTTTTTTTCATTTGAACTCAGTTTTTGAGGATATATTAATTGCAGCAGTGTAATGGTGAAATGCAAATTGTGTTCCGAGTGTTGGATAGCCATAAACCAAACTTCGATATGAAAATGTATTTCAAATCAAATCTGGAAATGTTTCAATTTTTATCATTTTCTACTGAAATATTCACTACAGCAGTGTAGTTTTCATGGTGCAAACTGTTTTTTGGGTGATGGATTTAATATTAGCCTACTTCAAGCCTAAAATAGATTCTTCTCGAGGGAATAATGCTTCCAATCTTAATCAAATGTGAAATTGTGTCATTTTTAAATTCAAGTTTTTTGAGAGAAAAATAAGAGTTTTGAGAATTGAATTAATGTGCATTATTCATGGATTTAAATGTGTAAAATTCGAACAGATCCAATGGAGACACTGTGTTCTTGATTAACTTAATCAAATCTCCAAGTTCTTTTTGTTAAATACATATACATTAAATCCTTTTGATGTATTTGTTTTTGTTTCCCTCTTGTACACATGCTAAGATTTACCTGTAACTCTCCATTCTGTTTGTTTTAACTGACCATTATTTTTGAAAAAACTGTCCATTCTTTAAAAGAATGGACAACTTTCCAAAAAGAATGGACACTTACAGGTGACTTACAGGGGGAAGAAATAAGCACCTCCTACAAATTTACCTGGTCTGGGAACCCCTGTCAATCATTTCAAATTAAGCCTGCTATTGGATGCTTGGAAATGATTGACGTTTAGCAACTAGTTCTTGTGTATACATTGTCTACCTAGTCTGGTGATCGAGGCGTTCGTCAAATTTGATGCTTACCGCCTATATATATAAATACGGCTAATATCTTTATTTATTCATGTACTAAAATAATTTTGACACACAATTCGTCACATGATAAAATGTATTATTAATATTTCATGCTTAGATTTTTTTTCGAAATAAAAAAAAAAACGGTATTTATGGTATATACTTTTTTCATGCTAATTTTTTTTTTCGAAATAAAGAATAACGGTATTATTTCTATGCGTATAAGAATATGAACATAATTGTCACACTATAAAATAATAAATTTGACAAACATTATAATTGATTTAATCATTTTGTTTAATGCTACGGGAATCTGAAAA